ACAAAAAGGAAAAAAAAAAAAAAATCCTTTGTGAACATGCAATTATCTCAAAAAGTTTTTTTTTTTTTTTTGTCTTTTTTCATGTCCGGCAATGGATTGCAACCCTCAGTGTCACACCCGTACCGGACCGGGACCGGCAACGGGATCGCAACCCTTCATGTTGCGCCCGCACCTCGCTCAGCCAGTGAGCGGGAACCGGTCTGTATGTGGGATCCGAGCCCTCCGGCGGGAGCGCCGCTGCGCTCTCAAACGGCGCACTGTAGCAGTGCTCCACCGGGCCGGCCCCACAAAGGATTGGTTTTTAAACAAACTTATGACTGCTTCCGCCAAAAACATCCCCGAGCCCACAGCTGGCCTTGGCTGACGCTGGCAGCTCGCCACCAGTTTCTCTTCCAGCAAGAAGTTGCTTGTGTAACAATGCCTGAACAGAAATGACCCCGTTTTGTTAAACCTTTGAATCAAAAAACTTGTTCTCTCCTGTAACTGAAACCACAGAGTCTGCAGCTAATTGCCAGAACACAATGACACATTGTACACAAAATAATTCAAGAAAAATTATTAACCCAGATGGTCATTCTTTACTAACTTACTAACCTGATTTTAGTTGAGAATAACAGGAACTGAACCCATGGAGAATGAAGTATGACGCTGGTCACCTCCCACCCAGGAAGTTCCTTGATGATTATCTGAAACACTCAAGCATGTCTGCACGTCCCTGCTTGGTCACCATGAATCAACTTTCCATCACAGGCCCCTATAAAACCTTTGGCAAACCTGGGAGAGGCAGAGATGGTCTTTAAGACATAAGCCCACCATTTCCCCAGGCTGCCGGCTTCCTGATTAAAGGCTAACTTACCTTATGCCAACTCTCGTCTCTTGATTATTGACTATTGAGCAGCGAGCAAATGGACCTTTGGGGTCTCCATAACACTTGTCTGGTTTAAGGGAAATGCGTGAGGTGGGGAATAATCCTGGGATGGGGGTAACACAGGTGGACATTTAATTTTCACTCTATTTTTTTCATTTACCATCATGTGCATGTGATATCTTTTAAAAACAAAGAATTTGTTTTTATAAAAAAAAATTCCAGATCCCTCTTCAATACTTCCTACCTCCCCTCTCAAGCCCCTAACGACCAGCTCACCAGCTGGCCCTCCTCCAGCAAGAAATGGAGGGGCCTGAGGGGTGGTGAACAACTCCAGAAGAAAGGTATATTTACTGATGGGTAAACTGTTTAGAAGGTTAGCGTTAGTCCCCTTCCTCGATTAAACAGGGATTCAAATAACCTACCAAGGTAAGGGAGAAATAAGGACCCTAAAACGCTCGGAATCGTGAAGAGTGAAGCAAACTTAAAGCAAATTGTCATTACAGTATTCGAAAGGGCCAAGGCGCGCGCGCGCGGCAGGCTGGGATTTGTAGTCTTTGGGGGGATCACAACGCGGCTGCGCAGGGGAGCGGGCGCTCTACCGAGCGCATGCGTGTGGCGGCGGCGCCAGGACCGATTGTGCCCAGGAGGCAGCGGCGGCCGCGCAATCGTCCGAGAGCGCACTATGGCGGTGCCCGCCACCTCCATGGGGCCTCCGGCGCTGGGCCAGAGTGGTCCCGGCTCGATGGCCCCCTGGTGCTCAGTGAGCAGCGGCCCTTCGCGCTACGTGCTCGGGATGCAGGAGCTGTTCCGGGGCCACAGCAAGACGCGCGAGTTTCCGGCGCACAGTGCCAAGGTGCACTCGGTGGCCTGGAGCTGCGACGGGCGTCGCTTAGCTTCGGGGTCCTTTGACAAGACGGCTAGTGTCTTCTTGCTGGAGAAGGACCGGCTGGTGAGCTGCCGGGGCCTGGCCCAGGCCAGGGAGAGGGGCTGTGGTGAAGCGACGTGTGGTGATGAGCGAGAGAAGGGGGAGGAGGGGTCGAGGGGGTGGAAAGGAGGAGGGTCTTGAGGGCAGAGGGAAGGAGGGAGTGTAGAGATGAGGAGAAAGAGGAGTGTGGGGGGACGAGGGGTGTGGACGTGCTGAGGTCGTGACGGGTGAGCATGGGAAGTGAGGAGAGCAGGACTGGTGGTGGGGGAAGGTGGGGTGTGTCGCGAGCGTGGTAGTAAGGAGGTGGGTGTGGTGAGGGAGGGTGGACGTGAGGAGGACGCATGGGATGAAGGTGAGGTGGGGCCTGGGCTCCCTGTGGTGGTGCGGAGGGCCCCTTTGAAAGTGATACAGTGTCTTGGGAATGAGCAGGTGGGTTGGGACGTTGTGGTACAGTAAGGGTGGAAGGCCAGGGAGGGAAAAGAAGTAAGGGCACTACTAGTGTAGAAGCTGAGAACAGTTCAGAGTGATTGGGGAGGAGGGAAGGGAAGATATTGGGAAGAGCTTTGGAAAAGGGGCTTGGAAGGACTGGTTTCTTTTTAATTATCCAAATCTTTGTTGGTCTCAAGATACTTTGGTTTGAATAAGGTTAAGAAGTTACATATGGAGGTAGGTACTTCTGTGTGAAGTAACATGTGGATTCTGTTCCTTCAGGTCAAAGAAAACAATTATCGGGGACATGGGGATAGTGTGGACCAGCTTTGTTGGCATCCGAGTAATCCTGACCTCTTTGTCACTGCCTCTGGAGATAAAACTATTCGCATTTGGGACGTGAGGACTACTAAGTGCATTGCTACTGTGAACACTAAAGGTGACTATTCAGAGAGAGGGCAGTAGGAGGATAAGCTACTTGTATTCATTCATCGACCATTAACCAAACATCTTCTCATTGTCTGGTACTCTGCTAGATATGAAACATTCAGAGCTGAATAAGACAGTCTCCAGCTCCAAGGACTCCAAGGACCTCATGGTTTAGTGTGAGGAGAGAGACAAATGTGTAAAAATAACATATTATGACAGGATTCATTTTATCATGGAGATGTGTACAATGTAGATACCCAGAATGGAAATGTCTGTGTCTACCTGGGGGCAACAGAGAAGGCCTCACAGAATGTGAGCAAACCATTAGAGTAGCCATAGGAATTAGTGGTCAGGGTGCAGTGGCTGAGAATGGGGGTAGTACTAGGAAGGGACACCATGTGGAAAGGCATGGAGAATTTGGGAAATTCAGATATGTTAGAATGGGTTGAAAGTGGTCTGGAAGAAAATGACCAGAAGGTTATGCAGTGCATTTATAGGCTCTGTTCTTATCGAGTATTAATCTTGAGGCCATTTATCGTGATTGACTCTAAGATGTCATTGATTGTAAGATACACTAATATTTTATGTGCCATTAGAAAAGAAAGTTGCTGGATAATCATGATACACCAAAAATTATGAGGTGCATTCTGATACATTTTAAGATGCATGATACTAAAATGAGAAAAAAAATATGCATTTTAGAATAGATAAGTAGAAATTTTTAATTGATGAGTTCAGTGTCATGTGTGATTTAGGTGGTACATGGATGAACATTAAAAACCAGTTATGAATATTTTAATGTCTACTAGAAGAAAAAGAATTAGCTCATAGAATCTATTGCTTGATTGAAGCTAAATTTAAGTAAATTTTTTTTGAATCAATTTTAAGAAAAATCTTGAATAAAGAAAAGTATAGCTGTTACATGGATAGGACAAAAAATTGTGAAGGTGGCATGTGGATGACTGGAGTTTGAGAAATGCTGGTATAAGAGAGAATAAGGGGCTTTGGGATCAAATCTGGGTTTAAATCTTGACTCTGACTTCATAGCTTTGATGCTTTGGCTCGTCTTATTTTCCATTTCTTCATCTGTAAAATGTGGATAATAAAGTGTTCCTTAGACAAGTATTGTAAGGACAAATGGGGAGATTTGCACAAAAATGTGCTGGACTCATAGTTGATGATAAGTGATTCCCTTCCATTGACTAATACCTTAATGAATGAGCTCTGAAGATAATTCTGGTCATCTTTCTAGGATAGCAAAATAAACTTCTGGAGGAATATGGGCAAACAGATTATCTTGCTGATTATATCTGTGTTCCCAGGGGAAAACATTAATATCTGCTGGAGTCCTGATGGGCAGACTATTGCCGTAGGCAACAAGGATGATGTGGTGACCTTTATTGATGCCAAGACACACCGTTCCAAAGCAGAGGAGCAGTTCAAGTTTGAGGTCAATGAAATATCCTGGAACAATGACAATAACATGTTCTTCCTGACAAATGGCAACGGTTGTATCAACATTCTCAGGTGCGGGGGTTTGAGCTTAGGGGACTGTCATATCTTTGGGCTGGGTGCTTGGCAGATACAGAGATGAGCTGGGTGTGAGCTTATCCTGAAGGAGCTTAAAAGGCAAATAGGAATAAAGAATCCTAACCTCTGTTAAGCACATTTTAGCCAGGTACTTTATATTTTACTGAGTCCTCACAGAAATCCCAGGGGGTTGAATGTATGCTTCCCATTTGACAGATAAGGATTTGAGGTTCAGAGAGGTTAAGTCACTAGTCAGCTAGTGGGCACTAGAACTGGATGCACCCTGAATTGTGTTTAATTCATACCTTTAAAGTTTGAACTTAGAAGTGAAGCTCCAGTGAAGCCATCTCCATATTTCCCCCTCTAATAAGGTTAGAGGCTTATTCTATGTACTTCTTGTTGGAAGCACTTCTCATACTATATTGTAATTGCATGTTTACTTGTCTTTATCTCCCATTAGACTGTAAATTACTGTGTTTGCCTTTTTTACTGTTGAATCCCTAATGCCTAGTCTAGTACCTGCTGTACATAGTAGGATCTCAGTTCTCTAAATGAATGAAATTGTGGAAGTGAAATTCAGATTCTGTTCAACTCTATTCATTCTGCTATCCTGGGTGAGCAATGTAATGCAGAGTGAGATAGATACTGTGTTAGAGAGGCCAGGAGTTTGCTGTGGAATCCCAAGGAAAGAACATATATCATACTGACTGTGGGGTTGAAGGAGGCAGCTTCTGAGCTTGATCTTGAAAGATGAGTAGAATTTTAAGAATCAGCAACAGGGAACTGCACAATTGACAAAACAGGTGTGAATGAGCGTGACTCATTTGGAAAGTAGGTCAGGATTTGGGGAGTGGTGGTAGATGATGTATATGAAGAGAGGGCATGATAATGGGAAGATAAAGTTGAAATATACTTTGGGACCAGATTATACAAAACATTGAATTTTATGCTTAGTAACTTGGATTTTATTTTGTAGGCAGTGGGGATTCATTCTACAACTTTTTTTAAAAAACCTTTTTATTATAAAACACGGATATTGAGAATTACAAAAAAATGTATAACTTGATGAATTGTTATATGCCTAATACCTGTGTAATTCCACCCAGGTTGAGAAATAGTACTTTCTGGCCACCCCAGAAGTCCATCCATGTGTTTTGTCCTAATCACAACTCCCTCCCTCAAAAGTAAACACTATCTTGACTTTTATAGTTTCTTTACAGTTTTATCTACCTAGGTACATTGCTAGACACTTCAGTTTTGCTCACTTAAAAAAATTTGATGTCTTTTGAGTCTGTTAAACTACAGGGTCTCCTTCCATCCCTTTCTTTTCCTTATAAATTAGCTGTTGAAAAACCAGACCGTCAACCTGTGGAGATTCTTCCAGTCTGGAGTTTGCTGATTCTGTATGTTTGTTTTTTTCGTGGAATACTTTCATAAAGAGATACTTCCTCTCATTTACTATTTGTTTATCCAGTAATATAATTAATTTAAGAAAGGCAGGTTAAATTCTTGATTCTTTCCTTTTGTCATCAGATAATGAAATAGTTCCCTATCACTTCTAAAGATGACAAGTTAGGTTATTTTTTAAGGATCATTATGGACTCATGTATTTAGACATAGTTGTGTTTCAGTCTGTTGTAATGATTATCCTTATTGAAGCTCAAGTTATTCCATTTTTGGCGAATGAGAGCCTCATCGGGTTTATTCCCGAGTCCTTTTTTGACATATAATACTTTTTTTTTTTCTCTCTCTGGAATCTTAAGATATTCCAACCTTATCTTATGCATTTCCTGCCCCAGACCTTTAATCAGAAATTCTCTAAGAAGCCCTAGAGTCTTAGAAAATGATACTGAAGCTAGGAACACCCATTGCTGCTGGGTTGGTCATTGTTTCTAGGATTTTCCAATGGACAGAACTAGAAAATATATGCATATATTTTTAAAGATAAAGTACTCGTGAATTCACACATTGTGGTGGTAAGTAGTAGTATTATTCTGAGACATCTGTATGTTTAACATGGGATAAAGGTAACAACCGTGGGATATTTTAATTCCGTAATTCTCTGTGCTCTTGAGAACCTGAATACTCAGTTTGGAAGGAAAGAGATATATTCTAATACTGAAGAGGTTTATCCCTTTATCCCATGTTAAACATACAGATGTCTCAGAATAACAGTACTCCTACCACTACCACTAATGCAATTATTTAAAATAGTAAAAATGTTTTGCTTTTTGCATATGTTTTCCCCATTCTTCCCCATTTAAAAAAATAGTTAGGCTGGTCGGTTGGGTCAGTTGGTTAGAGCATGGTTTTATAACACCAAGGTCAGAGGATCTGGATCCCTGTACCAGCCAGCTACCAAAAAGAAAAAATAGTATCATATATTATGAGTGTATACAGCTGTTACATATTATACCCTCTCTTTTAACCATATTTGATTTCTACAAGAAACTATATTTAATGTTCATCATTAGCTCTTATGTTCATAAATCTCTAGTCATTTTAGTTGTCAGAGCTCATTCTCTACTTAAGATTCCTCAGGAAGCATTTATGGGAATATTAGTCCCTGAGTTCTTGTATAACTTACTTATACACTTATAAAACTTATAATTCTTTATTGTGCATATTATTTGTATTCGTTATATTTGAAATTCAGTTTTGCTGGATGTAATTTTACTATTCTATGTCTTGATGTTGGCCTGGGTTCATATTCTCAGTATGTGTTGTGCTCTTCAATAGGTAGTTTGAAATCTTTTTTATTTCAGGAAAGTTTTCCTAGTCAATCCTGGCTTTTTTGTTTTTGTTTTTTTCTTCCTTTTTTGGCAGCTGGCCAGTACAGGGATCTGAACCCTTGACCTTGGTGGCACTCTAACCAACTGAGCTATCTGGCCAGCCCCAAGAAAGTTTTCTTGAATTACAGTTTTTGGTATTGCTTTATTGTCTCACTTGGTTTTCTTCTTCAGTGTCTTCTATTATTGTCTTAGCATCACAGTCCTCTTCTGCAGTTTGATTGCTCTCTGTCTTGTTTCTCAGCTACCCAGAGTTGAAGCCTGTGCAGTCTATCAATGCCCATCCTTCTAACTGCATCTGCATCAAATTTGACCCCATGGGCAAGTACTTTGCTACAGGAAGTGCAGATGCTTTGGTCAGCCTCTGGGATGTGGATGAGTTAGTGTGTGTTCGGTGCTTTTCCAGGTGAGAGATTCTGCCAGCAGTTCCCCTGTTGGGTAAATTAATTTTATTTCATCTTTGGTAAAATTGTACACTCCTCTTATTGGGTAATCCTAATGACTCCTATGTCTACCCTGTATTATAGGCTGGATTGGCCTGTGAGGACTCTCAGTTTTAGCCATGATGGGAAAATGCTGGCATCAGCATCAGAAGATCATTTTATTGACATAGCTGAAGTAGAGACAGGTAACTTAATGAGAATCTTCTCTTTTATCTCTGGCCATCAGGACTTCTCTTGTCATGTGTCTTCATCACTGTACCAGCATTATCACAAATGAAATTGTCTCCTTAAGACAAGCTTAAGTAGGAAGAAAAAAGCATTCCTCGTGGTCCCACTATATAACTACAACCTTTTTTAATGTTAAATATTTCTATCTTTTGCCTGTATGTAAACTTGAAAAAAAAATTTTTTTTCAAATAATTTAAGGAGTTAAATTCATATTACAGCGTGCCAAGAGAAAGAGTTAGCCCTGTGTGTGCTGAAATGGCAGATCTGCAAGTCATATTGCTGAATGAGCAAAGCAAGTAGCCAGTCTGTTCATGGGATGTGTTCCTATTTAGGTAAAGAAACTAAAGCTAAATTGATAGAAAAACTTTTAGAAGAATTTATATCAGGCTTAGAAGATTGGGAGAAGGCTGTGCAATAGGGAAAATTAGGATGAATTTTAACATAAATTGTTAATTTAATTATTAATTATTACTGAAATTAGTTAAAACTAAAAATTCAGTTCCTCAGTCACCCTATGCACATTTCAAGGACTTATTAGCCACATGTGGCTAGGGACTACTGTATAGGAGTGCAGAACAGGACATTTCCATTGCAGAAATTTCTGTTGTACGGTGCTGTACCCTTGTATTGTTTGAATTTTGTGCAGTAGCATATCTTCATATATTAGTTTGTGTAATGCATGCTCATTATAGAATATTTGGAAAATGCTAAAAATGTCAAAAAGAAATTAACACTCACTCATAGGTCCATAATGTAGAGATTACCATTGCTAACATTTTGGTATATTTCCTTCCAGTCTTTTCCCCCATATATGTATTTTTTTATATTATTGGAATCATATAGTAGATAAAATTTTGTGTCCTGCGTATTTTTTATAGTTAAATTTAAAACAAAGTAAGAAATAATTTCAATTTTATTCCTAATGGCATATACAACAGAACTTCATTTTAATACATTGCAGTTGTTTCAGCTTTTCAGAAACATCATGCACATTGCACCAGTCTGTTTAAACTTTGATGGTTTGGAATAGTAGTGTTTGTCTCATACAGCACCATATGTACCATCCAGAGAGTAAACTTTTCAATAAATTATCAAGGTGTTAAAGTTTATGAAGCCACATCATTTTTTGGGAAACATTTTAGAAGGCCTCTTCTTCATGTCTACTCTGTTTTTCTTGAACTGTATAAATCTCTTTATCTTTGAATCTTTAAATCTTAAATCTCTTTATAACAAATGACATGGAATTAAGGGCCTAAAGAGAAATGAAACAGGCATAGCAGCTTCAGAAACCATTCTTTGTGTCCATATAACTCCGGAGTTTGCTCAGACATGTAGCTATAGACTGCCAGGTCCTAACATCACTAAGAGTGGTTTTTTTAGGAGAAATGTGAACAGTCCCTGAGGTAGAATTACTTAAAAAAAATTATGTATGTATACATACACATACACATATGCATATGAATATAAATATATATTTTAATAGCTTTTTTGAGATTTAACTTAGATACCATGTAGTTGACCAGTTTGAAGCATACAATTCAGTATATCCTACATTTTTACATTAGCACAACACTATAGGCATTTTGCTACATTAATCTTAACTCTAAGATTGAAAGAAAGTTAAGCATAACTATATATAGTCATGTGCCACATAACAATGTTTTGGTCAGTGACGGACTGTATGTACGATAGTCTTGTAACATTGTAATGGCTATACCATATTGCCTTCGTTTGTAGTAGGCTATACCATCTAGGTTTGTGGAAGTATGGTATGATGTTTGCACGACAAAATCACCTAATGACACACTTCTCAGAACATATCCCTGTTGTTAAGCAAAGCATGACTATTAACAGCTTTGGAGAAGTTGTGTATAATTTCTGCAAGTAGGAGAAAGAAAACTTTTGGAAAAAATCTATTTGCAAGGCATTGTGGTTTGGTAAAAAGATCTGTGGCTTTGTAAACAGACTGATTTTATGTGCTATATCTGCTACTTTATTCAAGTGGAACTTTAAGTCACCCGTTTCTTTATAAAATGGGACTTAAAATTATTATCTGCATTGCTGGGTTGTCATTGGCATTCAATAAAATATAAACTATCTGATACTTAAGGATGCTCAGTAAGTGGTAGCTGCTATTACTGTCTTTCCAAGGAGTATAGAACAGGAGTTCAGAGGATAGGCTCTTAACACAGTTCAGATCCTACAATGCCACCTACTGGCTTGTGACCTCTCTGTGCCTCAGTGTTCTCTGCAAAATGAGGTAATGATTGCACCTATACTGTAGGGTTATTAAGTGGATTAAATGAGTTAATATAGGTAAGTAGTGATTGTGGCCTCTTATTATTAACATATTAATTGGTTTTTCTATATTTATTTCTATAGGAGACAAGCTATGGGAGGTGCAATGTGAGTCTCCGACCTTCACTGTGGCTTGGCACCCCAAAAGGCCTTTGCTGGCATTTGCCTGTGATGACAAAGATGGCAAATATGACAGTAGTCGGGAAGCTGGAACTGTGAAGCTGTTTGGGCTTCCTAATGATTCCTGAGAGGAGGCCCTGGCAGAGGCCTTCCTTTGTGTAGTTTGGTCTGTTCTCTTGGAGTTGGTGGGCACCCTAAATATTTGTTAATTGGTATAAATTATAAAAATCTTTTTGTTAGGCTGCCCATTCAAATTCCCTTCCTGTTTTTTTTGTGTTGGCTGTTTCCCTTCTTTCCCCCCAGCATGAGGTAGTTAATGCAAACTCTGCAGTAAAGGTAATTACCCCAGCATACCTTGTCCTCTGGGGACCTCATATCTTCCTTACTTTGGGGTATGTGGTAGACTCTGTTGAGCTTGGTAATGCTTGGACAATACCTAGTTTGGAGGGAGGGATAAAAAAGGGTGGGATGGGAATGAGGTTTTTTTAATGATGAAGAAAGAAATATATAATTTTGAGAATTGAGCATTAAATAAAACTGACTTTTTATTATGGTACTTCTAGGACTTTTAGAATTATAGTATTATTATGTTCTTATATTATTATAGGGAGATGTTGCAGTTTTGTACTTTAAAAAAATCTTGGAAATAGAGTTTAAATGTTATAATTCTGTTATTTATTTATTTATTTTTCCTTTTTGTCTTTTTTCGTGACCGGCAACGGAGCGCAACCCTCAGTGTCGCGCCCGTACCGGACCGGGACCGGCCACGGGATCGCAACCCTCGGTGTTGCTCCCGCACCTCGCTCAGCCAGTGAGCGGCTGGTCTGTATGTGGGATCCGAACCCTCGGCGGGAGCGCTGCCGCGCTTCCCAAGCGGCGCACTGAAGCAGTGCGCCACCGGGCCGGCCCTATAATTCTGTTACTTAATATGCTAACCAAAATTGTGAAGTCTAGGGACAAAGCATGAAGTGCATGGGCAACAGCAATCCTTGAAAATCATCAGTTGTTTATATGAGTGTGTGTGTATGCTGGGCCTCATTCTACAAAGGTTTAAACTAGCTGGCACCTCGTGGAAAGCAGAGCTTTATTAGTTCTTACCTCTTAAAGAAATGGCTCACGTAGGGGATTGTTAGTTAAGAGCAATATTTTGATTTTTATTGTATTTTATACAAAGTATAAATATACCTCAGTAAGTGATGTTTGTAGAGAATTTTGGAAAAAGCAGGTAAGCAAAAAGAAAAATCATTGTCCTAGCTCTAAGAGATAATACTATTAGCATTTTGGTGTATATCCTTCCTGTGCCTATATTTATATATTAAAACATGTTTATCTTCATAATGAAGGGTAAGCAAATCAAGTACGACAAGATAAATTAGGCAAGGTGCCCAGGACCATGTTGGATGATATTATAAACTTTCCATAAGTGTTTTTCTTTTTAAATTAATTAATTTATTATTTTTATTATTTTACATTCTAAGATGTTGTGGAGCAGTTGCAGGGGAGGGGGAAAGAAGAGGGAAATAGGGTGGGAGGAAGAGGAAGGAGGGAAGGGGATGTGGTTGGGGCCTGTGGCATCCCCCTCATTCTGGCAGGGGAGCCTGAGGGCTTCTGGTGGCAGCTCAGTCATGGCTGCGGATGTTGAGGGGGCGTGGCTGAGGCCCTCTGCCCCCCACTGCCCTAGCTCGGGAGCCTGGGGCACTTCCAGTGGTGGCTTGGTGGTTGTCCTGGGGCTGGATGCAGATGTTGGGGTGGCATGGCTGAGGCCCTTGGCCCTCCCACCCTGGCTCAGGAGCCAGAGTGCTTATGGCAGCAACTCAGTGGTTGTTGCTGGGCCGGATGTGGATGTCAGGGGAGTGTGGCTGAGGCCCTCGGTCCCCCAATGCCTCAGTTTGTGAACCCAGGGTGCTTCTGGCAGTGACTTGATGGTTATCACGTGGATGTCAGGGGGGCATGGCTGAGGCCCTTGGCCCTCCCCTGACCCTGGCTTGGGAGCCTGGGGGGGCTTCTGATCCTTCTAGGTTTTATAGATGTTCTTTGGTGGTGTTAGACCTTTACTGGTTAATATTAGAACTTTGTCTCTGATCTGTGGGTTTTTTGTTTTTTCTTTCAGTTCTGTGTTGGAGTATTCATTATTCCCACCACTTAAACTCTGCACTAGATCTAATTTGTTGTCCTTTGGTTTCTTCTGAAATGAGGGAACTTCCTGTGGGAACCAGCACTTGAGCCCTGTGGTTGAGCTAAATTGTTGTTTTGCTGCTGATACTCTGGGGAAGGCTTTTTGTGCAGCTCAGGTTTTAATTGTTGACCTTGTAAGCACTTCTGGGTCTTGCGAGGTCCAGTACACCTGGGTTGTGTGGAAACTCTGGTCTGGGCCTGAGTGTTTTCAGCAAACTGTACCCCTGCAGTGTTATATTCCTGACCAGTCTCTACTGAGTGGGCCTGTGCTGATTTGAGGGCATATCAGCTGTCCATGCTGTGTCCCAGTGTTCCCCTGGTGGGCCAGTCTCCTCCGCCCCCTGCACTCCAAACACTTTCCATGAAGTGGGCCATGCACTAGTCCCTTGCAGTGACTCACCATCCTCTGAATGGCTCCTGTTTTCAGTTGTTTGTGGCCTCTTGCTCCTATGTGGGTCCATGGAACCCTGTTAAATGGTCTTGCTGGCCTGGGGGCCACCAAGGCCCTCTTCTCCACTGCAGCCTCCAAACAACTTCATACGAAGGGCATAGCAGGGGCTTTTGTCAGCTTCTGCTCTGTGCATTCACCAGGGCCAGCTACGAAGTGGTTGGGACTCGAAATGGTCCTTCCTTTCTCTCATCGTGGCTTCTCCTGCCTTCATGAACTATGTAGGTCCCTCCTCTTCCCTGAGCTCTAGCCAGCATTCAGTGAGTCTTAATAGACATTTTTAGTTATTGGGCATTCCCTACATGTCTGGTACTATAATAAGCACTTTCCATCAGCTGTTACTCAGTTTTTACAGCAGCCTTCTGAGGTGGGTATTATCACTGTTTTACTACCTCAGGGAGTTTAACTCAATATTACTCATCAAGTGACTATTCAGATCTAGTTTGCTTAAAGGCCCATATGCCTTCTATTGCATTTGGGCTACTCTGCTTCTGCAAATATTGCTGTTCTCATTTCACAGGTGAGTAAACCCTGGCTCTGAGAAGTCCACTGTTGGCCCAGGTTAGGGAATGATTCACTGAGCCTGGTCTTCAGTCTCAATAGTGTTTCCACCAGCCCCCAAAACAGCCTATTATCTCCCATCTTCCCTGAAGAATTGTCTTTTCAGTTGCAAATCAACTTGCCATCTCATTATGTCAGAAGTTCAATGTTCATGTTATTGGGAGTAAACTTTGATGCATTATTTTTTGTTTTTGCAGTGATCTGTCATTCTTGTGGCTTTTGCTGTCCTTAATATTGGAACCAGATGCTGAGGGTTGGGTCTAGGCCTGTGGTTTACTCCCTATGGTTTGAACGAGTTTTCTAGTTCTGCAGAGCTGGAAGGATACCATTCAGAGTCACATGTGGCCAGTTGTTATTTGGTCAGTCCGGGTGTTTCATGCAGTTGCTACTCCACACACAGCAAGCCAGAAGTGGGTGGTGAGGTCAGCTATGAGCTAGACTTTAGTTGGCAGGGCAAGTCTGGGATTTGCTGTACCAATGATCCATTTGCTGTGTTGACTAGATTTACATACAAGTCAGGCTAAGAAACAGGGAGTTAAGATATCCCTTGAGATCCTGGTATCTTTGTGGTAGGAGAGGATGAGCCATGACACATGTTAAACTCATGAGAGGTAGGTGTATGTGCCTTGTGGGTTCACCCCATCATAACCTGTGTGGCTGTGCAGCTGGCATCCTGGCCGAGGGGATTGGGAGGTTAGAGCAGAGTGTCCTGGCCAGAGGCAGGTAGATCCAAGGTACAGGCTAATCCCAGAGCAACTAAGCTCTCCTCAGCAGGAGACTGAGGTGTAGAGTGCCGGAGGAATCAGGAAGAGGCCAATCCTGGGAGGTCCCAGAGGGGAGAGAGAGAGAGAGCGCACGCGAGAGAGAGAGAGAGTGTGTGTGTGTGTGTGTGTGTGTGTGTGTGTGTGTGCGCGCGCGCACGTGTGTTTATGTGTATGTATGTGTATATGTTAGGAGCTGGTTGGAGTATGATATATGTGAATGGGCTCAGTTGAGAGTGGCCAGAAATGGGATAGATATGCTCTTGAGCCCTTTCATGTTTTAAAGATGAATTCTAGTCTCTAAGGCTTTTAGCCACAAAGGGGATCTTGAAATGTCTACCCTCTTTGGAAGGAAAAAAGCCCATAGACAGAGTTAAAAGTTAAGCCTTATCTTCAGGAATGGAAGGAAAAAAGCCCATAGACAGAGTTAAAAGTTAAGCCTTATCTTCAGGAAGGGAGTAGAGATCATATATATAGAGTGCACTGCAAACTCAAAATACCTATATGCAGGTGAGGTGTTGTCTTCTTTTCTCTGTAAAGCACTGTGGTGCAGTGGAAATAACACTGGCTTCACACTTGGGTAAAGTATAATTACCCAGCTCCAGCAGTGATTTATCTGAACCGACTTTCCTTGTCCGTAAAGTGGGGATAATTAATCTCCTCCTTGGGTTGTTAGGAGAATCAAATGAGATAAAGTATTTGTAATGTGTCCAGCACGGCATCTGGCACATGGGAGATGCCTAATAAATCCCTTCCCTTGCTTGAGGTGGAGCAGCTCTCAGTGAGAGCACAGGGGCTGCCTGCAGAGACATGTCATCAGTCCATCAGCTTTCTTGGCTCCACATGCCACAGCTGAGTGAGCCACGTTAATCATTCCAGGAGTAAGTGCTGTGAAAAGAGGAGACTTAACCCACCAGTCCTTGGGCATGGTGGGAGGTTCAGAGAAGTATTAGATCTGCTTTGTGCTTACAGTGTGATTGGGCCCCTGCTGGATTATGTGTGTATGTCAACAAGTAGGGCATAACTCAGAAGTGCATACTAATGGGTGAAATAAGAGGAGGGCAAAGTTCTTGTTAGCTGGGTCCACTGGGAAAGGATTCGATGGAGAAGAGGGGGCTCATGCAAATCTTGAACATGGCAGATGTGAATATAGGGCTGAGGACCTATGAGAAGGAGTGTGACAGCTTACAGCACAGCCGAGGTGGTGGCAGTGTCCTGGGATGTGGAGATGATGGTCTGGTGGAGTATGAGATAGGGTTGGAGGGGAAAGGGAGGGAGGGGTGTCAAGCTCTGGATGATTTCAGTTTGGACTGGCTGGTAGTGTGGCCATGTGAATAGGGAGGAGACAGATATACCTGGGTTCAAATCCTTTCTTCCACTGCTAACTGGGAGTCTTTACCTCCAGCTTGCTAATCTTTATAATGTTCATATTGACAGTAGGGCTTGAGGGTTAAATGAGTTGACATAATGTAAAATTCCTTGTGCATTGTGGATGTTCAGTAAATAGCAGTTATTACTGTTATGTAGGTGTTAATACCATTTGCATGTGCTGTGTAAACCTTCCTTCCTTAGGAAGGGGCTTTCACTGTCCCCTGGGTTCATCACATTTTG